TTTTGGTTGGTGACTTGTACTTTGAGTAACTACTTGGAAGCTAATGATACACTGTGTATTAACTATCGTTATTCTCTTATTATTTTGCTGTGAAATTCTGCTTTATTGTTTCATAAAAAATATGTAATAGAGACCGTTGCAATGCCTAAAACTACTTGCCTTCTGGTCCTTCACAGAAAATGTTTGAGGACCTCTGATCATCTTCCTCGGAGAGCTTCTCTAGTTCTTCTACATTTCTAATTCTACCTTTTTCATGTTGCCATTTCTGTTGTTAGTTCTCTACCACTACCACCAGTGAAGATTTAAATTTTTCTGTTATATTTTTAGGTTCCCAATGAGCTTCCGATGTCTCTTCAATTTATATAGTGGTCACTGCATCTCAATCTCTCTTCTTTTATGGCTTTTGCTGCAGATTTACAAAGAATATTTATTTTCTTGAATTCCCAAAATGTGCTCCTATGAGCTCTCTACCTTACCTCACTGCTCAGTAGTTTTGCATGATTCTGTTGTGCTCCCTCTGGTGCATGTTGCACACTGTGAAATCTGGCCAGAGGCAGATTGGCATAGGTTCCCTTTCTAACTGCCTAGCCACAGCCAAAACCCTGTCTCAGATATGTTACCTGTATGCACATTTAGGTGCTGCACTTCTGACAATTTATTCTCCAACTTCTGGGTGACTTTTCTCTATAGCAGGGGCCAGTATACTACTACCCACGGTCCAAATGCCCTGCTGGTCACAGTGATTTTTACCTTTTGTTTTTGTTTTGTTTTTTGGTACCAGGGATTCAACTTGGGCCGTTGCACTTGGGAGGCAGGCCACGGAACCACTGAGCCAAATCCCCGGTCCGATTTTTACCTTTTTAAAGAAGATTATACAAAAACAAATAATCAAAAACTTAAGAATAATATGCCACAATATGTTAGCTTTCTGTCACTATGACAAAATACTTGAATAATCAACTACAAAGATAAACGATTGGCTCATGATTTCAGAGGTATCAGTCCATGGTTACTTAGCCTGTCACTTTGGGCTTGAGGTGGCACAGTACATCATTGCAGGAGTGAAAGGTCTATTCACCTCCCGATGGCCAGGATACAGAGTGGAAGGGGCCATGTTCTAATATCTCCTTCACAGGCATATCTCCAATGACTTGAGTTCCTTCTACTAGGCCCTACCATCCAACTAACAGTTCTAGTAGCACCACCAGTTGACAAACAAGTCTTTAAATATATGGGTTTTTTGGGGGACATTCTAGATTTAAATTATAGCAGAAAGAGACCCTTTGTGGTACACAAAGCCCGAAATATTTCTTATTCAGACTTTTATAGGAAAAATCGCCAGTGGCTGTAAAGGAATATAAATTCCCTGGGCACATGGGGAATTGGTTCCAACACTCCCCATAGATATAAAAATCTGTGGATGCTCATGTCCCTTGTGTAGAAAGGTGCAGCATTTACAAATATCCTACATATATCCTGTATACTTTAAATCATCCCTAGATACTTATAATATCTAACATAATATAAATGCTAATTGCTATACTAGTGTTTAGGAAATAATGAGAAAAAACCATGTCAGTACATGCTCAGTACAGATGCAGATTTGGGGAATTTTTTTAAAAAAGTAGTTTTGATTTGTAGTTAGTTGAATCCATGGCTGGGGAGTCAGTACATCTGCAGGGCCACTGTCTCTACACAGATCACATCCTCTCTTACTTCAGACCTGGCTCTCAACTGATGCAAATCTATAATCTCCAAGTCCTGCCCATCTGAACCGCTACCCACCAAGTGTTATTCACTGGGGCTCTAATTCAGAAGCAGCCCACCTTCCCTTAATTTTTGGCAACTTGCTTTTTGTATGCTGCTGTTTCTTTCCAGAGACATAAGAATGAATGCGATGGTTGCGAATGCATGGGAAAGCTGTATTAGAGGAAAGAAACCAGGATGCCAGGGACCTCACAGGTTGATGCCTGTGAGGAAGGTAGCTGCCTCATTTTATGGTTACAACAAACCCTGGATATCTGTGTAAAAAGTCAGCAATGGGAGAACAACAAGTCTCCCTACTTTTTTCTTTTCTTTTTTTTTCTTTTTTTTTTTTTGGTATCCAGGATTGAACTCAAGTCCTTGTGCTTGAGAAGCAGGCGGTGGCACCACTGAGCTAAATCCCCAGTCCCCTACCTTTTTTTCTTGATAAAGAGAAAAACTGCATTGCACACACACACACACACACACACACAAATTGAAAAAATCACCAAGTGAAGTTTTAAAAATAATAGATAAACACGATCTGTTCATATATGAAGTAAGAAAAAAAACCCCATAATTATTAATGTTACCTGTAATCATGTATTATTTTTCTGGCACTCTCTAGTTGTTCGTTTGATAACAGAATATTTCTGGGGTCAGTCACAGTGAAGAAATGATTGGCTCGTCCCATGAAAGTACTTTGATCCCATCGAGGCTCCTTGATGTTAATGTTCAGTGGCAATTCCCCAGACATCTTCCTGGACTGTGGAGAGTCACAGACAGCTCTGTAAGACTGTACTACCACACCTCGAAGCCAAGAGATATATGCTCGTCCGATTTATAAAAATATTTTTGCCCTCAGTGGCAGAAAGACCATCAAAATCAAAGCTAACTATCAATCTCAATGCATCTTAACAAAATTTCAACAGTTTTCCACATATTTCCTCTTTATATGGTATCTCACCATTCTTTACTTATTGAAATCCTAAAAACACTCTAGGGGAAACAGAAATATAAAAAGGTTTAAAATAACATCAACAGTTGACAGGCTTGCGTCATTCGTAGAAAACTGGATGCCATCTTGAGACCATAATGCTAAGTGAAATAAACCAGACACAGAAGGCTAGATATTATGTTTTCTCTTAATGAGAAGCCCAAAGTAAAAGTGATTTAAAGAGTAAAATAAAAGATGCATGATAGGAAAAAGGGAGACAGACCTTGAGATGGGCAGGGGTCTGGGGATGGGGTTAAATAGGAAGGAGGGAAGTAAAAAGAATCAAGGGGCCATACTGTATGTATCAATTCCCCATGGTGAATGTATTTATTATATATCACAACATATACTAATTAAAAAGGAAAACAAACAAAAAATAACAAAACAAAACAAAACCAGGGTCTGCAAGTTTGAACCCATTTTTCTAAGTAAAACAACCAATGGTAAGCTACTGCTGCGTTCCGATCTACTAAATTTGTTACTTCTACTAGAGAAAATGATGCAAAAAGGAATAAATAATAAAAATTATACAATTCAAAAAAGATTCAGACGCATATTCATTCAGTCTTGTTCGAAATATAAACTACTAATTAAAATAAAATATGTCCTTTGGTTTACTTGGAACGTAGTGGGAAAAACACATTCTGACAGTCTGACAAATAGGAACAACACTACAGCATATAATTTTCCTCATAAAGTGTCTATTTTCTGGCTCAAAACCATTAGTTTTTTTCCATAGTAATTAATTTCTTTCACTAAGTAATACATGCTTATTTTAGAACTGCTTATTTTAGTGTTGTAATACATGCTTATTGTAGTATTCTGAAAAAATATAAGATTACAGAAAATAAAGAAGCAAAATCTCCCATAATCCAGCCACTCTGAAGTAACCATTGTTAATGTTCTCATACATTTTCTATACATGCTATCATATAATTTAAAAATAACTGGATGTTATATATTTTTTAATCAATTAAGTTTATTGATATATTTTAGGTATACATTTTTGTTTTTTTTTCCTTATTGAGTTTATTGGTACATTTTAGGTATGCAGTACAGTTACATTCATTATTGGGATCTTGTACCTTTACATGACAGGTCTTGGTTCTCATTTTTTCCCCTTGTCCCTGCCCTCCCTTCACCCCCTCCTCCCTTCCCTATTTATGAGCACTTTATTTCCATTTTTTCACTTTTTCATATTTTTTCTTTTCTCTTATTACCTTTCCCCTACCCTTCCCACTTTCCCTACACCTTTAGCCCTTCTATTTGAGTATTTTTTGCATCTATTTTATGAATATAACGTGTCATTAAATGTTCATTTTTGATATATAATGACACCTTTACTCTTCATGTCATTTCATTTTCTCACCAGTATATATAATGCTGTATCGTCGTTTATAAACCTTTCCCCCCTCATATCTAATGATTTTCTTGGACTAGATCTCTATGCAGGATGTTAGTGTGTCACAAGATCTAATTACCATGAAGGTTTCTGACTACTGCCGTCTTGGACCTGTTTCCCTCACCTCCGTTTCTAATTACAGTTCTAGTCATTGCTTCCTTTTCCAGGTAAATTTTCATTAAATTACTCCTTTGGTGGTTTACAAGCTCTTACTGTGTTAAGATGTCAGACATAAATGTGAGACACTCTTGTAATGTACAGTTTATCAACATCTCTGGTTAATATACATCATGGACCACTGGATCGAAGTTGAGCATGTCAGTTAGGCCCAGAGATATGAGGACTCCAGTGCATGTAAAATAGCTAGACAGGGACAGAGACCAAGTAAAAAATAAGCTCTGCAACTGATAAAGCAGGCTGGGATGACAAATACAGATGAAACCAGCTGCAAAGTATAGGGGAAAACACATTTTCCCCAAGATCACAAAGCAGCTTTCCAGTGTCATGACAGCTCCCTTTTGAGTGTGGTTGCTTTCTCATCTCACTGAGAAACCTTGTTCTCTATGATCACAAGTGGTCAGAAACTCCACTGTTTGTGAGCTGGGGATTTAGCTCAGTGATTTTGCTGCCTGCCTTGCAAGCGCAAGGTCTCCAGTTTGATCCCTGGTACCGAAAAAAAGAAACTCCGCTGTCTGAAATCACAGGAAGTAGACATCCCACTCCTGACACGGAAGGCGACACTAGGTTTTCTAGTCCAGGTGCAGAGTTTCAGATTAAAGAATTTTGGGGCACAACATTCCAAGCCTATCTTAACTTCACAGTTTCAAAGGAAAGGGGAATGTGGATCCACTTCACAGTCCAAACTTCTAAGCCAAGCCCTTTGACTCTGTGAAAACACTGCATCGTTGAAGTACCCTGAAGCCTACCACTGTCCACAGTGCTATCACAGACCTAGCTCCTCCTTCAGTTCCTCTGCAGTGTAGCACCCTCACTGCAATAAACACGTCCTTGTTGGCCAATAGGTTTGTCCCTGATCATCTCTGGCTGACGGGGTTATGATGAGACACACGGAAACTGCAAATTAGAATAAATCACATTTGTGCTTGTTAAGTCCAAGGACACAAGATATATAGTGTAGCTGTCTTCCCCTTAACTGAAGAGGATGAATTCCAAGGCCTCCAGTAGATACCTAAAATCACATACAGTACCGAACTCTAGCTACGTTATATTTTTTTCCTATACATGCACACTTATGACAAAGCTTAATTCATACATAGGCCACAGTGAGAGATGAAAACTAATTAATAAAGAGAGCAATTATATACTGTAATAAAAGTTGTATGATGTGGTCACTTTCAAAATATTTCCTTGTTTGCCTCTGTAATTTTCCATGTAATATTTTGGGCCACAATCACCTATGGTTAACTGAAACCACAGAAACCAAGACCATGGCTAAGGGTGGACAACTGCACATCAAAGGGCTGTGTGGAGAAATACCTAAATTGTGAATTAGAATACATCACTTGCATTATTTATACAACAGACGAAAAAAAAAACAGAGACATCAATCTATGCACAGGAGAGCAGTGGTCTTCGGACTTGTCCAGAGAACATCTCAGGGACTATGAGGCAGCAGAGGGAGCTGTGCAGTGGGCTCCAGCCCTAAGCTTATCTCAACTCCAGCAGATCTGCTCTGACCTGCCTTCCATGTCTGTGTTTCAGGATGACAGTTATTTGAAAACAGTGCTTGGAAAACAAAGAAAAAATTTGATAACCACTATAAGAGAAGACAAGAAATAAATGTTTTTCAACATCTTAAATAAACTGCGATGTCCATTTGATGAGTGTTTCTCAGACTGTGTGATGGATGTCCTGCTTGGGTTTTCCTTTTTTTCTTCTCTTTTATTTTGAGACTGGGTCTCACTACATTGTCTAGGTTAACTTTAAGGCTATGATCCTCTTGTCTCAGCCTCCCTGGGGTGCCGGGATTTATAGCATGTATCATGTATCTTCTTGGTTTTTCTAATTTTTGAAAACTATTATAAGCTGGGCATGGTGGTATGTGTCTGTAAATACCAGTACTCTGGCAAGCTGAGACAGGAGATTCTTAAATTCAAGGCCATCTTGGCAACTTGGTGACTTAGCAAGATCCTGTCGCAAAACAACAAAGGGCTGGGGATACAGCTCAGTGCAAAGGCCATGAGTTCAATCCCTAGTGTCACTAAAAACCAAAACCCATTATGAGTCAGTATTTTTGTAAAAATATAATACAAATTTTTCAGCGGAAACAAAAAAATTAAGTATAGATTAAAGTCTCAAATTTTTATTATTAGATTCAGCAGATATTAAATGATTCTGCCAAACTGTTATAAAAATTTGTGCTTATTTTCAATAAATTAAACACAACATAGACTTATAACAAGCAGTTTTTGCAGGAAAACTCTTACCTGCCTCCAAGATCTAAAAATACTTTCATGTTTTGTAATTATTCACTGGCACCCACCTGACCGAATCATTAGTGATCTCAGTGAGCAAGGAAGATAAAAATCCCTGCCCTAGCAAGCTAACATTGGGCTGGTAGGTAAAAGAGGAAACAAGAAATAAACAAAAACCATAAGAGACAAATAAATTATTCATTGTGCTAGAAGGCAGTAATGGTTGGAGGAAAAATAAAAAGCAATGTGATACAAAGGGTCATGAATACTAAGGGTTGCATTTTAAAATAGGGTAGTCGGAGTAGGCTTCATTGAGAAAATAACTTTGAAGCAAGACCAGAGGCTATGAAGAGCTGTATCACATGGGTGTGGGGGAAAGAGCACTGCAGAAAGAGGAAACAGACACCACAAGGACCCTAAGGTAGGAATGTGCCTGGTGTCATCAAAGAGCAGCAACAAGGCACAAAACTGAAAGTGGTGCGAGGAAGAGACAGAAGATGAAAGAGTAAGAGAAGAACTGGAGAAACAGAAAGTCTTAGGGGGAAAATAGGCAGTTAAACTTTGACGTGTTACATTGGAGAAGCCTGAGGGAAGCCCAAGAGGTGATGTCCAGGAGGCAGTGAAATAGGCAAATCTGGAGTTCAGGGGAAGGTCCAGGCTGGAGACTGTCAGCTCCGAGACTGGTCAAAGCCAGGAAGTCAGGATAAAATCACCAGGGAAGTACATCGTAAATACAAGAGAGATCCAAGGACTGGAACATGGAAAGGTCAAAAAAGACGAAAAGGAGGCAGAGAAGAAGTAGACAGTGGGTAGAAAATCTGGGGTGTGTAGTGTCTTGGAAGACAGCAGGTAAACATTTGTATAGCCTGCTTGTCTAAAAGAAACTTTGGTCACCGATTAACTTATTTTGGGGTAGTAGTGAGGTGCGGACT